AGAGCCCGCCGCGGGGCTGTGCCCTGAGCTGCGTTTCCGGCCCCGCGGGCTGCTGTGGCCGCGCGAAGGCGCGTGGGCCGGGGCTGGATCAGCGAGGCCGTCCGTGGGGCTGCGCGGAAACGGGGACCCGAGCGCGCCTCCTACCATTTCTGGCGCCCGGGGCAGCCGGGACGGACCGCGTTGGGGTTGCGAGGTCCCGCTGCTGAGCGTGGGAGGTTGGGGTTACTGTGCGCAGTGTTTCCAAAGCGAAATAAAGAGCTCTCTTCGCTGAAACCCGGCTTCTGGAGCTCTCGGCTCAGCCTGGCTGGAGCAGCCCGCGGGCCGCCCGCGTCGGACCCCGGCTTGTGCACGGTGGCTCGCAGCCCCGACCTGACTTCCGGGAGAGCAGCCTCAGGGACGCGGCCTTGGCGGGCCTCCCGTCGGTGTGTTAGCTGACCCGGCCCCTGGGCGCTGCACGAACCGAGACTCGGGTGTTTTCCAGAAAACCCCCTGCCCCAGCGAACCCCGAATGTGTGGGGTGCGGGTGGGGAAGGGATACCGGGAACGGAGGAGTGGGGAAGGAAGCAGCAGAGATGGAGCATACTCGAAACGGAGCTGAAGCTGCTGTGAGAGGCTCTGACCCTGCCCGGAGCCGTGCTCCCTAGCTACTGCTTTCTGTCTCCTCCTAGCGCAAGTGCTCCGTCTGCCTGATCCCCTTTTGTGCCCCTGAAACTTCTCATTAGGGGCGTAGTCTGAGTGCCCCTCTCTTAAGAGCTGGTCCCCAAGCACAAAGTAAAGTGACAAGGGAGATGGAATCAGAAGAATGACTTGGACTCTGCTTAATCGTACTGTCTTGAGGGTTCTGTATGGGTTGCCTGCAGCCACCTGCAGGGCCTCTCAAAAAACATACCCAAGGCTTTTCTAGTCTGACTCTTTTCTGCATCTGTATGTGCTGACAGAGGAAGAGATTAATGAAGTATTAAGTAAAGTAAATAAGTAAATAAATAAGTGGAAAAAAGCCAGAACAAAGCAGTGGCAGAGTATACAAGGTGATGCAGTCTCTGGGAGAAAAAGTTGCTCTCTTTCCAGCTAGGAAACTGAAAAGAAAAATACTGTTCAGCTCTGTAGGGTGGGGATAGAGAAGGTGTTTACACTTTATTTCGTTCATCTCTGCACTGTCGGTCACTTTAAGAATACTTTAAAAAATAGATTGGGCTGGGGGCCTGGCTCAGTGACAGGGTGCTTGTTTAGCACGTGCAGGGCCTTGGTTTTCATCCTCAGACCTGAAACAAAAAAGTGTTTAATATATCTAAGTATGTCTTGTGTGCTTTAGTTTCCTCCTCCCCTAAGGACAGAGGCTGAGCTTTAAGGTCAATTATAGCTATAAAAGTGTAAGATATGTCTGTAGCTGACTCTGCTAATCTCTATGGACAGAGCAAGGTTTATGACTTATAACCTCGCCTCTCATTAGGGGTTGTGCTCCAGGCATCAGCAGTCAAGGGCCTGGGATAAGCAATGCTCCAAAGCAGGGAAGAGCATGAGGACTCCGAGGCTGGCCCCTGCTTGAAGCACAGGGTCACTGGCAGGAAGCAATGGCAGATAATGTGCATAGGGAGGGTAGAGCAAACCTCAGAGACAACTGCTCAGCTCAGAGGTCTTATCCCTACGAGATTTTGAAGAGTTTGTAAGTGAGGAAGAATGGATACTGAAGACTTGGTGTGGGGGCAATGCAAATGAAAGCCTTGTGCCTTTGTCCCCTTGTCATTTCGCTATACTTGTTAGCAAACAAGGGCTCTTCTCATACTGCCTTGGGATACTAACATTTCAAACGAAACACAGTCAGAGGGCTGGGAGTGTAGGAAATGTGTGGAAAACTGTTTCACAGGACAGCCTTGTGCACAGTGTTGTACCTTTGAGTGTCCACCATGAAATGTCATGGGCCCCATCCAGCTAGCAGTGGCATTTCGGCTATGAAGGCAACCTATCCACAGAAGTTACAAACTCTTCAACCAACATGCTGAGAAATATCATTAGAAGACTTGCTGGTTGTGTAAACATGGTAAAGTGTTTTAGCAAAACCTAAGATGGCTACAATGTCTCTTAAGTCACCTCCTGTTGTTAATAACACGGTTCTACAGATTAAGTTACAAAGAAAAGAGGTTTATTTCAGATCAAAGTTCTGGATATGAGACATCTAGAGGCCACATCAAGAAGATTCTTGCTGACAGTGTTCTGAAAGACAAGGAGGCACGTTGATAGGCGGCTGTATTTTTAATTTTCTTGATTTCTGTTATCTTTGTATTTTCAATTATTCTGCTTTGACTTGACTTTGCAATTCATTTCCCCATTTTCCTTTCCCTCCTCGTAATTTGTATTCTTCCTTATGAAACTGACCACTTTAGGTACCCAATGAAAGTACAGCCATGCAATATTTCTGTTTTTATGACTTCTTTTGCTTTGTGTAATATCTTAGAGGTTCATATATGTGTAGCATGTGTCAGAATTTTGTTCTTTTCGAAGGGTGATTATTTTTCATTGTATGACTATACCATTTTTTTGTTTATCCATTTATCTTTTGAAGGATATTTGTGTTGTTTCCATCTCTGGGGTATTGTTAATAACGCTGTTATGAACATTGATGTACAATTCAACAAGTTTTGGTATGTTTTACTTTCACTATCGTTAAGCCTAAAATATTGTATAATTTCTAGTGTGATTTCTACCTTAGCTCACAGGTTGCTTAGAATTGTGCTTGTATGCATACACTTGAAGATTTTCTGTTTATCTTTCTGATACTTATTTCTCTTTTAATTCTTCCCAATCACAGAACATATTGAGTGATTTCAGTCCTCTGAAAAGTGCTAAGAGTTGCTTCACATTACTATAGCATCTATTTTTTGTAAATATTCCATGCATAACTGAACAGACTGTGTATTCTGTCATTTTTCGATGCGGCATTTTATATGTGTCAATTATGTCAAGTGTGGGACTTTCTTTATGTGCCTGCTTGTTCTATTAACTCTAAAATTGAGTAAAATCTTTTATGATTATGGGCTTACATTTTTAAAATTTTACTTGTCAATTTTGTTTTATATTTTTGAGTCTGTGATGTGGATACATACATTTAGCATTGTTACATCTTTCTATGGGAATAAGATTTTTATTATAAAATATACTGGTTAATCACTACAAATCTGGTGGTGTTTACTTGCTGTTATTAGTAAAATTGCACTAACTTCCTTTTTTGCATTTGAATGTACATCTTTTTTCTATCCTTTTTCATTCAATTTTTCTCTGTCTATTCCAGATGTGTCTTTAAGTTAGTCATACTTTTATTTATTTATTTTTTAACTTGGGCTGATTACCTTAGTTCCTTAGTCAGATTATTTGGTCCATTTTTATTCAATATATTTTATCCTTTATTCTGCTTATTTAAGTTTATATATTTTTCCAATTAATGATTTCCTTAGATAATAGTATTTATAATTTCATTGGTTCCCTTCATTAGCTTATCAATTAAACATTTGGTTATTATTCTAATAATTAAGGATTTCATTGTACATCCTTTCTTGTAAATTCTACCTTAAAAGACTACTAAATAGCTGGGAGTGGTGGCACATGCCTGTAATGACAGCACTTGGGAAGCTGAGGAAGGAGGATTGTTGTGAGTTTGAGGCCAACCTGGGCTACATAAGGGAGTTTAAGACCAGCCCAAACTGCATAGTGAGACCTTGTCTCAAAAAAATGTACTGCTAAATACTGCAAGGAATTCATAACACTTTTTTTTTTTTTAAAAGATAAAAGGAGGGAAACCTTAACAGACATACAACATTTTACAACATATCACAAGCACAATACAGACAATACAGAGTTACAAACAAAGTGATAGGGAATTAACAATGGTGGTTGTATTACATATTGATATCTTCAAAGTGGCTTCTCATGAAAACAGATATAGACATGCAATACTGGTCAACTCATTGACA